CCCCAAAACCCCAAAACCCCAAAACCCCAAAACCCCAATTTTATGGAAAATTATTGAAAAGCCTATTGGATTAAGCTTTTAAGCTTGGATGTCTGACTGTGAAGAAGACTGTAACAAGGCCTGCAGTTAAGCCAACATAGAAAAATAGAGCAACCCATCCTGCGAAGGATAATCTTTTTGTGTTTTCTCTGCCGTGGGTATCGTATTTATAGTAAATTACACCAAGTAAAAAGCCTGTTAGAAGTCCACCAAAATGTCCATAGGTATCAGCATTATCTCCTGATGCGAAGGCCATCAGCACAAGCAAAAGGATCATGATTAGGGTCGGCATGAGAGCGCCAGAGTTATAAAGTGCTCTCCAGTTCATCAGAAGATTTACGAACATCACACTAATAATTCCAAAGATAGCTCCAGAGGCACCTACAGCGATACTGTCGCTCACACAGGAGCTAAAGATGAAGCCGCCAATCCCAGATAACATGTAGACGATGAAGAATTGTAGTGCTCCAATATTATGCTCAATGTTGAAACCTACCCAGAACAAGGTGACTGAGTTGAAGAAAATGTGCATAAAATTAGCATGCAAGAAGATGGGTACCACCCATCTAAATACTTCATAATTATTTCTAATTTTATAAGGATTTTTGGCACCAAAAGAGGAGAGCTTGTTGGCTGGAATTCCCATGAAGTCATCATTATCCAGATTGTTCAGGCTGAAACAAAACACTGTAAGGAAGATAACCAGATTTATTATGGTGAATGCAAATGTAAAACTAACTACTTTGAACTTAGGACAGAGGTTATACTGAAGCATGTTCCAATAATTCTCATCCTTAGGTTGCTTCTGACCGATTCCACCAGCACTGAACATGTCAAAACCGTTGATATTATTGTTCTGGCCAGGATTTAGCCTCTGTCTCTCATGATCGCTAGCTTCTGTGTTGTAATCTCTAAACCCTCTACAAATTAGTTAAGAAATTTACCTGATATTAGCTGCCATTTTAATTTTATAATTGCAATAAATAATAAAATATTGGGGTTTTGGGGTTTTGGGGTTTTGGGGTTTTGGGG